TCAGAAATCCTGAGTTTGCCAGTGCCGATAAAGTTGTGTTTGCGGGCTCCAGGTTAGTGATGATAAAAAAAAGCAGTATAGAATTTGAATTTACTCGACGTTCTCCCCTCATGTACTTTTAATAAGTTGATGTTCGTTTGTGCAATTCGCTCTTGCAGTAAATAAATACTTTTTTCGAAGTTATAGCACTGGTGCTAGGTCTGAAGGTGGTGAGACACTTTGATTGATATATTGCAACACTTTTGACAGTGCCGGTGGCATCGGTGTGATGTTAAACATCGATCGTTTGGCGAGGCGGTTGCGTCGGGGTCTACGTTATCGACGGTGGCGGCAGTCTTCTCGAAACCACGGTAAACTTCAAATCAGTGGACTAGTTGACTCCGCCTGGTTCCTCAATCATCCTACTTACGCACAGGCCTATTCAGGCAGTTGTACCAGCATCTACGATTGTCCTCCTGAGGAGGGAATTCTTCGCGGCATTGGGTAGGAATCCTTCAAACGACAATGGTCACACTCCGGTACATTGCATAAACTTTACCTGTTCATCTGTAGGCTATGGCAACCACGAATTCCTCGTCGCTGTAGGATGGCACAAGGGAAGAAGAACTTTTGGCAGTGCTACCTGGGCCCCGTAATCTACTCCCACATAAGAAGTAAGCCGTTGAATTTGAGCATTTTGAAATAATAATATACAAGTAAAGAGATTGGAGGAGCAGGTTATCAACATTCAGGCAAAATTTAAGGCACAAAAGTTCATTACTCACAGAATAATTTGACCATTGTTGCAGCACTTCAGACCTATCACCTGAACCAAGTGAAGTCTGGTGAGCACTCAAGATGCTGCACAGATTGCAATGAAGAATGTGCCTAATTAAGAAGAGAAATAAAACTTCTCAACAATTTTGTTTAACTGCCCCTTTTTATTGGCTTCACTTACTAGGAGATGTGTAAGAGTTTGTAGCAATGCCCTGGAGAAAGAAAAGATTTGGAGAGAAGATGAGAGGAGGAGAGGCATAAGCAGCACGACTGGTTTTTACATCTTGTTAGAAAAACCAGGCCCCAAGTTCTGTCCTCAGTTAATGAGACTCATTAGTCAACAGCTGGGCATCAAAGTTGATGATCACGTAAATTACCCAACTGCAAACGTTTCTTTGCCATACTTGTGAAGCGTAGTGAGGCTAGCGTGTCCCATTGGGCATTGATGGCCATTCTGGGGACGAAGGCGACGATGTGGACCTGTGAGTCAGTTTGTGCAGGATTGGAAGAATGGCTAAGCACGAAGGAAGTAAATTTTGGTTTTGAAAGGCAATGCATTTGCGAGGTCAAGCTGTGAAATGATAACAGACACATTGTGTTCTGACATGGTCAATTTATAGAGACCCCTTCATCCTTCTCCTCCTCCTCCCCTCTGAAGCCAGACTGTGTAGGAGGGATCTTATTAGGCGCAGAGGAGCACGAAAGAGAACGAGGGTAGGAGAGCTGAAATGTGGGCAGCGATTGGTGCCCGTCCAACATCTGTGCGATTTAACCGCGCCTCAAGCACGTGGTTGGGAGCTGTTTATTCCTCCTGCTTCTAGCCCAAAAGCACATTTGAAAAGCCGAGGGTCCTACACAGTCCTTACCTTCCCCCCCACCCCCCTCCCAATAAGTTCAATTTTCAGTACCAACATGTGCATGTCATCGACTGGGCCTCCTCATCTCAACTTACTAGAGGATTTAAAGGAGCAAATAAATCTAATTTCGTCTTATTTTGTATTTCGTCATAACATGGCTATTTCCCACGCCTCCTTTCTCCACCCTTGGGCGATCTTCCCAAGCCTGTCTTAGAGGAGGCAAAGGCAGCCGTCCCAAATCCATCCACGAGCATATTTAAGTGTTACTGACTGAGGCATGTTTTTTTGCTCCTAAGTGCCATGGGCTGATAGTGAGCACATGCCATCCATTTGTGACGCAGGAAGATGAGGTTAGACAATCGTAGGTTCGCACATGACGCTAATAGCAAACGCATTAAGTTATCACTCGGCTACACAGCACACCTTTTTGACCACGTCCAAATGACTATGATCCCATGCCTTTTAACAAAATGACTTTTACTTTGTCTAAGCAAAATTGATGTCATTTATTCCAGCTCCCACCTTCATCATACAAAGCCTCTTTGATGAAGCCCAGTTGCAAATGAGTAGAGCCATCCTCCTGACCGGTGGTTCCTACAACAAATTGACGTACATTCAGAACTTGGGTAAAGCTGTTGCCAAGAGTCTCGACACCGTCCAGTGAGTTTAGTGCTCTTCTTGCACCACCTTGTTATAGGATGATGCTTACTTTTACCCTCCTCATGTGATCATGATTTTACTGCTTTTACCTTTAGAGGCGTCTTCGCACCGGCTTGCACAGACCATGAGATTCTCACTACTAAGTAAGTGCTTCCCACAAAACACTCCACTCACGACACAGTATGTAATTTGGTCTGGAGGTGAAACTCTTGCTAAAAGGGATGCCGATTGAACAGTTTACACTGATCCGCAGTAATGACCTTCATGCAATAAAAAGAAGTCAAAGTTAATGATCCATTGACTTGGCCATGGAGACGCAAAACGATGAAAGCTCCACAATGGGCGCTTAGAGAGACGGTGACAATGATGGAAACAAGCACAACGTCATTCAAAACAATGGACACAAGGAATAACACAGTTAAAAAGAGAAAGAAGTACCTTTTCACTAATGCGGTCTTAATTGGTGTGTGCACTGACGAGTGAACTTTGAAACCTGACCACACAAATATCATCCACCTAATTGGTGTCTTAACAAGATGCAATGTGAATTTCGCGCCTAGACATGCAAAGTGATGTCACTTCGTCACCTCCAAACGTGGCACAAATGACAGAGGCACGTTAAAATAACCAAAACAGATTAGTTCTGATAGTAGCACTTCTAAAGCACGCATTAATCAAACTCTTTGTTCGCCTTTAGTCACTGGGCCCAACTAATGGTGGATTCGCAAAGTCTGCATGACACCCTCAATGCATGGGACGCTCATTTAACTCGGTATGCCTTCCCTAGCTAATAAAGTCACCTGAAAAGTCCTATTCAAGTAGATAAAAGTTGTGTGGTCCGCATCCACCACCAACACGTGGAGGTCAAATTCGAATCGAGTGACTTGATGGTGTTAGTGTCACAAGCAGGACCCTTTGCTAATCATCTTGGTGGAACTCTAGGCGGTTCGACTGATCTATTCCTTCCGCAATGCTTGTGTTGCTATTCCATGAGTGCTGACAATGAATTCCCGATTCAATACTATGTCAGTTCATCAGTATTTCGCTTTTCTATAGAAGTTGAAAATGGATAGTTCCTTAAGCATGACACTTGTTTGAACCATCATAACCAGACCTCACCATCTTGTCACATTCTAACGCACCTGACATCAACCATTGTCAAGGTGGAGCTGGTTAGTGCTCTTATCGACGCAGTATCCAAACTCACCCTCCGGATGTCACCAACAAATGAGCAGGCTAAGATGCTGATGCTGGAGGAATTGGATAGATGACGCCTATGTCAGATTGGCTAATTAAGGCGGAATTAAAACAAAAAATCTCATTTCGTCTTAGTTCAGTGTTCAAAAAAACAATCTCAATATGACTGCCACTGACATTTAGTTGAGGAGGTCAAGTGGCAAGTCAACATATGTGTTGAGTACACGTGAAACAAGAGCCATAATCCGCATCTTTTGATTGTTCAGATGGCGTCGCTACCCAGACTGGTATTTCCATCTCCAATCACCCCAATCCCCCTACCGTGGGGAGACAGGACACTCAAGGTCACCCGATAGCTCCCCACAAGAGACACAACAATCGCATCAGCTCAACTCCTCGATGATTTTCCTTTCCAAATTGGTGGCGGTTTTGAATCGTCCCAAGACAGACAAATCAGCAATGCGAGGAGGTCGAGAGCATGCAATCCGGCGAAGTCCTCGTGACCTTCTTCGGAACCATCCACCCTTTCGCTTCCGCGTTGTTGACAGATGCGCCTTGGACGTTGGCCCGGATGATGAGGTTGTAGTTGTGGGCGGAGGATTAAGTGCCGCGATGTCGGGTAGTCTGGCAGCAGCGTGTGCAGGCCGATCATACATGACCCCTCTGTGTAATCCTTCATGCCGCGCCCTTACACACCCTCGCACCATGGAGAGATTGAGTGTAGTCTCACTCTACGAACTCTACGGTGTGGATTCAGCCCAACTTGCCGCCAACATCGGTGTCTCCGTCACCCAACTGAAGGCACTGCCTGTGAAAATGCAGATGCAGATGCTCTTCTGTCGGCCAGTCTAGATGTTTGTACACTCACTCAATCATGAAGAGGCATTCCAAAAACAGCAATACTGATCCCCATCCACGCAAAAGCACAAAGACACACACAGTCATGATGCATTTATGCGGAGTGTGAATAGCCGGTACGTACAGGGTAGAAGATGAAGAGCTGCGATCATTTTGAACAAAATCCTTCCTTTTTGAAGCGAAGAGGAGAGCATTTTTACACAGAGATTGATATTTCTTCCTCCTCTACTCCACTCCTCCCCTCATTCAAACGACTAACAAC